TTATAACTTTGTTGGTTACAGGGTCTTGATAAGATTTCAGAAAAGAAATGTAAAAAAACAAAAATGATCAATACTGCAATTAATCCTCCTAATTACTGTTGAAGTTCCATACATATTTTACATAGAAAATTAATGATTTCAAATAATATTGTCAGACAGTTTTTTATCTCAAGTGCTGTAATGTAAAATTACTCAATACGATCCAATATGTGAATGGACCCTATCGGTAGTGGAAAGTATAAAAACAAGTCGATTATTTAAGGGGATAAACGTTCGAACTATGGTAGAGGAATCTACCAAGTAGAATGTGTCAGGGTTCCGTTACACGTTTATTAATCCACACACACACACAATTACACGTTTACGTTTCGGGTTACACGTTTAACCTGAACAAGACATTAGCCAAAGCTTTCGTACGAATTATTGATTTTTCTTTAGCGTTTACTATCGTATTTAACAATTGTGCAAGATATATGATCTATCATTATCTACTATAACCATGACAGAATCGAACAAGACTAGGCTAACGTAATAAGCTAGAAAAAAAAAGTGTTCTCTTTCAAGTGCATCACGAAAATGAACGTTATTGACGTCATAACATGCCTTCTATAACTTGCTTAAAGCAAGAAGCTCACAGATGCTGAGGAAATCGGATCCACACCTTACTTCCGCCGAGATATTGGAGTAAGAGAAATCTTGACGTTATTCTGTCTATTCTACTCTATAGATTTGAGTTCTGTATTTATTTGTATTTTATTTTTTGTATAACCGTTAGTTCAAAAAAAATTTACAGTATCCGCTATATATACAAAACTATATTGAGGAAATGAAATATATTCTCCATATCGTTAAGTTGATAAAACATGGTAATTATACTATGGAAAGAACGTTGATCCACTGTATCCAGAAAGCTAAACTGATAAGCTAAGTAACAGTACTTATATTATGAAACGTACAGCAACTTGCTCCATCTACATTACTAAACACTGATTCGATAAAATGTAATAATTATCCTATTTTTATTACTATATTTTCTAGAAAATCTCTATAAAATGAAACAGTAAAAAAATAGAAAGTAAGTTAAATTTCTCCATTACTTGTTTTGTGTGTGCAAAATTTCTTCAAAACCTAGTTATCTGTTAGTTATACAAAACTGTGGGTCATCAGTATACAGAGAAAACTATACAATACAAGTATACAAAGAAAACTGTGGGTCATCAGTATACAGAGAAAACCTATAGAACATCAGTATACAGAGAAAACCTATAGAGCATCAGTATACAGAGAAAACCTATAGAGCATTAGTATACAGAGAAAACCTATAGTTCATCAGTATACAGAGAAAACCTATAGAACATCAGTATACAGAAAAAACTGTGGGTCATCAGTATACAGAGAAAACCTATAGAACATCAGTATACAGAGAAAACCTATAGAACATCAGTATACAGAGAAAACCTATAGAGCATCAGTATACAGAGAAAACTGTGAGTCATCAGAATACAGAGAAAACCTATAGAACATCAGTATACAGAGAAAACTGTGGGACATCAGTATACAGAGAAAACTGTGGGACATCAGTATACAGAGAAAACTGTGGGACATCAGTATACAGAGAAAACCTATAGAACATCAGTATACAGAGAAAACCTATAGAGCATCAGTATACAGAGAAAACTGTGGGACATCAGTATACAGAGAAAACTGTGGGACATCAGTATACAGAGAAAACTATAGAACATCAGTATACAGAGAAAACTGTGGGACATCAGTATACAGAGAAAACTGTGGGTCATCAGTATACAGAGAAAACTGTGGGACATCAGTATACAGAGAAAACCTATAGAACATCAGTATACAGAG